AATACTCACATTTTGTATTTTATAGATACATAAAAGAGATTTTATCATTTCAAATTGTATGCATACAAACTCAATTTTTTCAAATATTACTTTACAGCACCCTTAACCAATATAACATGCAATATGTGTATATATGATGAAGTAATTGACTTTAAAACGATTGCAATTTTGAAAAAACTTAGAAATTCTACATTAAAAAGGCATCCCACAGCAAATAAACCAGTAAAACAACAAAACTCTCTGTTTACTACGGAAAACCTTCATCATCCATTCGTGGCAACTGAAGGTTTAGTATTAAATATGAGAATTTCAATAAAATTTTGGAAGATAATGAAAGAACTAATACAAAATTGTATCTGTTGCATATATTAGGAAATGTGCAGTACGCATTAGCAATTTTTGAAATCAAACAAGAAATAGTATGCATTAAAATCAAGTTACAATTTAAAGAAAATTTGAATAAGAGTGAAAATAAATATACACTAAAAAGAATATAACGTAATACATAGCCTTACCAATAACACCATTCCAACTAATGTCATAAACTAAAGTCTACTACAGCACTACATCGAGTCTTGTAAGAGGTATAAGAATGCGTCACCTGAACCGTTTTTCTTAACGTGGCGAGTGGTGGACCAGTGAACTGTGTGTTCAGCCTACTTACAGCCGGCACTGAGGCTAAGCGATAGGTAGTGCCTGGAGATGGTGCAGCAACCACTGCATTTCCTGCTATACTATTTGGTGTGACTGCAGTACCAGCAGGAGCACCAGTTGGAGGCGGTCCTACCCTAATTAGTTGATACTGTCCAGTTTCTGTTTTTAGTAATATATGACCCTGAGTTCCAGGTTGAAGACCGTGTAGTGTTTGTAATGTTATCTAAAAAGATTAAAAAGTGTATCAAATTAAACAAGAAAATGTATATACTACATTCTAACGTAGTAATGGAAATAATTTCAGCTGTACAAATTACTTTGGATAAAATACGTTAAATCGCCATGGAATTGAGCAAATTAATCGAATAAGCTGATATATACATTTATAATATAATTCTGAAACGTGTATACATATTTATTTATCTATAAATTGTCGATATCTTACCCCTGGAGCTCCAGGTCTTGTTCCTATCATATGTTGACCAATTACTACTCTGGATGCAACTTGTTTTCCTCCTTGCTGTCCTGCCACTGGCGTGCCAGGACGCATAGCATTAACGTTAAGAATTTGCACATTACTGGGTACTATCGTGGATGTAACTCCAGCTTTACCCTGTAACGCTGTGCTGACAGCATTGCCAGCAACAGAAACAGGAACAGACATTGGAACGGAAACCATGCCACTGGGTGCTACACTAGTCTTTATCACTAAAGCTGTACCTGTCGGCTTATTCACACTAGCCACTGTTTGACTACCTGTTTCACTAACAGAGCTAACATTGGTAACAACATTTGATGTTGTTTGTAACACTGCCTGTGACGTTATTCCCAAAGTACCATTGGCTAGTTGCCCAACAGTTTGTGCAGGGAAAGAAAGTTTATTATTGACATTTGCCACCCCCGTGGTTGCTATTACTTGGCCAACAGTCGGATAAATAATCTTAACAGGCTCGTGTGCTTTAGTAAGGCTTGGTATATGTGTTGTTTGATTACTGGTCACCTGATTTGTAGTAACTTGATTGATATAAGCAGCAGGGGGGACTGCTGATTGTGTATGCTGTTGCTGCTGTTGTGTAGTAACCTGTGGCGCCACTGTGTTTGAGGTAACCACGTTTACTGGCAGAAGAGTGCTCGTGGTAATGGACTTCGCAACTTCTTGAGTCATCAGACTATTCACTGTAGTAGCACCGCCGCCGTTCGAAACCCCATGTTTCTGTGGCTGTACCGCGGTGATGGTGCCCCCGTTGGAAATACTACTGTTCACCTGATGATTCTGTTGGCTGACTGACGCAGAACTCACTTGATGGCCAGAGGCAGCCGGCGTCGATGTTACCAGATGCGTTTCAAGAGAGCCTAGTATCGCGTTCACTGCCGATTCATCGACGTCCGTGCTCAGAGCTTCCTCCAGAAACTTAGCTGACGCCATTTTCTTCCAAGCTCCAACTGTAAACTGATCTGCGCATGCGCCTGTCGCAAATTGTTCCCATGGTGCATTGCCCCCCCTAGCGCAGCTGAAAATTATACGCGGCCTTTCTTCTGTTTACCATCCGGCGGTATACGAATTCATTAATATTTTCCATCATTGTAAAAATCTTTTCGCTGTCCTCTCTCACCAAAGCGACGGATTACCATGCTCTCTTCTCTCTAAACATCGAGAAAACGATTACCGCCATATTACGCATAACGTTGGTCATTTATGTTATGGCTGTCAATACTCGGCTTGCAAACACGTCACCCGCCAAAATGGCTATCCTCGAAACTGTAGATTCGTGCACGGTTCGTATGTTTAACAATGATATCATATTGACATATAATTCGGAAAATTATTAAAAAATTTGTAAAAATCCTCGTTTCCTGAGTACGCTTTATGTTTGCTTCCTTTAAGGATATCGTATAGTAACAGTTGCTTTAAGCAATACGTGTTCCGCAATCAATTACATTTCCGACTATGCGAGTTAATACTGTTAGCCGTGTTCCGCAACGCATCGTAGTGATAGCGAGAGCTCGTTGTAAACGAAACTTAATATAGATCAACACATAACGCGCCCTATACCAGTGTGGATAATATGCATTAAACACTTCTTTCTGTTTCGTAGCACATATTATTTACACTAAATAATGCTTCACCATAATAAGCCCATGCGGAGGCAACCGACTTAGTATTATGAAGCAAGTAGATAAACTGCTCTTTTCCTCTGATTGGTTGTCGCTTCACAGCTAAACAGTGCTGCTCTCACAGCTTTAGACGAAGAGAGGAAGTAGCTCGGTTGATAAGTACTGGGATAGCTAAGTTATCAAAATTTTGTTGATTCATAAACTAAAGAGTATTATCTAATGACTATAATATATCGAATATAATATAATATTGTGGCGGACCAGACATAAAAAGACACGTCCTTCAAAAACGCGGTGTGCATATGCCCTTTTCGGGTTTTCCCGACGCAAGGCGTACACACCGCAATAAAACAATAAAAACGTTGGGACACAGCTTCGGACCATAGGTCCCGGATTACCCCGGTCGGAAAATTTTCGGGAAAGGCCTTCGCCCTTCCCAAGGACCTTCCCTTACAGATTTCAATACGCTCTCCCCAATAAATTACGAGGACCTCTCGACCGGGAGACGTTAATTAGCTAGTTTTCCTCCGACTCTCGACGTGTTCGTATTTCTGTCTCATCCGTCACTCGCTTACCTTTACCTTTTACAGCCTTTTTGTTACAAGTTGTATTAAAGTTCTCGTTATATAAAACCAAACAACTCTCTCTCGGATTATTTCATATAAACCGTCGCAGTAACCCCTGCGACAAAATATAATATAATATAATATAATATAATATAATATAATATAATATAATATAATATAATATAATATAATATAATATATATAATCGAATATAATATATCGAATATCGCGCCGGGTTTCAAATGGGGCGTCAGGAGTACGGATGCGCGAAAAGAGTGAGACCGCAAGCACGGTAAAGTGAGACGGCCTAGGTTTATCGTCTATGTGGATACTCACACATAGAGCTGGCTGATTTCGTTCTGTCTCTCTCGATCATCTCCCGTTCTCTTTCTAAATCAACTGCGCGAGCTGGATGCGCATAAAAATGGTGGGGATAAAAACGCTTGGAAAGAAGAGGTAGAAAACCGCTCACGATGAGGAGGCACTACTGTATATTTTATGTAAGACAGATATGTGTGCACAAAACTGTAATTCTATTTTCATCCAAAATATTTTTACGTACATATTTATCGTACATATAAATTATAATATCTTCAAGAAAATTCAAAACGCAGTGTGCATTCTATTTGACTATTAAAATCACACGTTCTTTTTCCGTGTCTATCTTATAATTTCTTTTATATCTTTACAATATATGAAATATTATTTTTAACATTTGTTAAATCATATACATACAAAATTATTGTACTTAGCACGGTATGAGGTACAGTAATTATCAGTATCTTATGAAAATATTTGTATATCACATTTGTTATCGAGAATGTGAAATCCTTACATGACGTGCTTAAACTAACCTACAAAACAGATCAGTTTTTATCGCAGTTTTCTCAATATTCTCCTTCCATTCCAAATAATAGCGTCATTTTTTTTTTATATTTCAACAGATACTTCCGCCAATTCAAGAGTTAAACGAATCACGTCGATTGTTACACAGAAGAAATATAAAAATTGTGAAATAAGTATGTCTTGTTCGTGTAGCTTCCAATGGTTGTGTAAAGTTTAGACGAGACTTCAGTCGAGGAGAAAAATAATTGAGTACATAAGTGTAGAATATGTAAATTCAAGTGTATCACAAAATAGTAATCGAATGTTGTTCACGATTCTGACGGATCAGACGACCAGTGAGGCCACGTTTTAATTATGCTAAACAAAACATCGCCCGGGCTCAAGGTCGCGGAAACTTGCCGGTGCCCCAGCAATTTATAATTCTTCGTTATTTTACCCTTCTTTACTCCCAGCTCGATCAACTTTTTGGCGGCGTGTAGCTGCCTGTTGTTCGGTTTGATAGTATTGAATGTGCCGATAAAAGATATGCCTATACTGATGTTGTTGTAGCCGAAAGCATGGGCGCCGATATGATCCCAGTCCCGGCCAATGTACACGTAACCATCGCCGCCCACCAGAAAGTTGTACGCGATGTCCGACCAATGACGAGACTCGATGTGAAAAGTTTGAGCGAACCGTACGCGATGCGTACATTCCGATTGTTTGATGCATCCCTCGGTCGCCGTGTGACCGATAATCACGTACGGTACTGGAAGCGTCAATTTAGCCAGCGGGTGCGACGGTGGCTGAGCACCCCATTCGTTCCGTTCGATGAACCGTATGTTCTCCACTATTGGACCTTGAATGCACACATGAATGTTTGTGACAACAATTCGAATCGTAAAGATAATTGTTGAGTAAGGAATATTATAGACGTATATAATTACCTTCGGATACAGAGTTGTCCGAATTATCGCCGATTATGCCCTCGTTACCCGCAGCATTGTGCGCGACGTACACGCAAGCGGTGGTCACAATAAGAACGATAAATACGGCTAAAATACAGGAGAACGCTGCACATCTCCAACTCCATATCCAGTTTAGCACTAAAATAACGTTACAGCGTTAATTAATGAATTACTATTTGCGATACAGGTTAAATAGAGATAATTATCTATCGCAAGTTAAATTGTACAAGATATGTAGAATTTCTTTTTATAAAAAGAAATATTAACCCTTTTTTAGATATTTTTTGTGTCTCGGTTGAATATCTTCTATCTCATTGAGATCTATTATTGTGTCGCAATTATGCCTCACGCAGTTCCACCGATCTGTGCCAGAATAAAAATACGTGCAAATAGTTTTAATCGTTAAATTAAAGGATTGTAAGAATAACTTAGATTAATTTGTTTAGATATTCGAATGCAAATACAATTAATTTGTGAAACATACGTACGGTTTATTCTGACACGAAGACAACCGATACAAAAATCGTAATTGCAATACATTGTGTTGGTGCACGAAAAATACAACTTATAAAATTAAGGCGATTAAAGGCTGAATAAAATTTTTTCGAGTTCTCCGAAACGTCCATTTGTCTTCATCAGCCGTGGCACAGTACATACTACCAAATGCCACATTAACCACTTGCGCTGGCAAAAAATTCACCGACGCGTGTACCAGAACGGTCCAGTGTAACTTGCTGGGAGGCGTCACAGAAATCGGAAAAAGATTTATATTTTCTAAACTAATTTATTTTCCATTTTAGAATATGGGTTAAATATTGACAATTGTGCGCTATGCTGTGCAATGATAATTTGTGCTCTGGCAAACAATCCCACCCGTCGTGCCATGCACGTCGTTTGCATTACGACGTGCGTGGCACGTCTTTCCAGCGCAAGTGGTTAATGGCTTTATCAGTCAATGGTTCGTCACAGAGATTTCGAGAGAGGATGTTAGCTATCGTTATACTTCCTCTGATCTGTTATCGACTCCATTAAACAATCATACCGAGATAAAAATTCAATTATTGCAGAAGCTTTACGAATTTGATAAGAAAAGAGATTAATTAACACAAATCCAAGAGTTTTACATCCGCCGATTCAATAATGAGCGACCTAGATAAACCGTTCTAATATTCTGCAAGCTGTTGGAACACGATTGATAAGATTTGCTGTATCGATTTATTCTGGATCACACGCACGAGCGTGGCAAATCAAATATTTGATTACGTGTGCTATTAATATGCATATTTTAATCGATATCTGTTAAAAAGTTCAAAGAACTATATTGTAATTTTTACTCCGAGTAAAAACGTAAAAATTCACCTACATTTTGATTATTTTGATTAGAATTAGGATTAGAATATATTAGAATTTATAATTTATATTTTTTAAACAGAATGTTTTACATTATCTCCATAAAATTTTGTCGCAGGGGTTACTGCGACGGTTTATATGAAATAATCCGAGAGAGAGTTGTTTGGTTTTATATAACGAGAACTTTAATACAACTTGTAACAAAAAGGCGATGGGCTACAGTGTGTAAAAGGTAAAGGTAAGCGAGTGACGGATGAGACAGAAATACAAACACGTCGAGAGTCGGAGGAAAATTAGCTAATTAACGTCTCCCGGTCGAGAGGTCCTCGTAATTTATTGGGGAGAGCGTATTGAAATCTGTAAGGGAAAGTCCTTGGGAAGGGCGAAGGCCTTTCTCGAAGATTTTCCGACCGGGGTGATCCGGGACCTAAGGTCCGAAGCTCTGTGTCTCGTCGTTTTTATTGTTTTATGGCGGTGTGTACGCCTTGCGTCGGGAAAACCCGAAAAAGGCATCTGCACACCCCGCTTTTGGAGGACGTGGCTTTTTTATGTCTGGCCCGCCACGAAATAATACGGATTAACGGGAATGATCGAATTAGTTTAACGAGTCCGTAATTGGAAAACGATTTTCATGATAAGGCTTCATAAATGCACAACTAATAACTATTGGTTAGGCAAGAGAGTATTTTTGGTTAGCACGCGTAGAGAACGTTGTAATTGTCGCTTCAAAACAGAAATTACTTCTTTGCCAACCCAATACAATATCCGCGAGGTAAGTCAAGGTAAATGTGATAAGAGTCGGTAAACAAGCAGTCGAATTTTTGCTTTCATGTAACATAGAATTTCGTTCCGATAACAGTAAATAGACAGTGCTTTACTNAACGTAAAAATTCACCTACATTTTGATTATTTTGATTAGAATTAGGATTAGAATATATTAGAATTTATAATTTATATTTTTTAAACAGAATGTTTTACATTATCTCCATAAAATTTTGTCGCAGGGGTTACTGCGACGGTTTATATGAAATAATCCGAGAGAGAGTTGTTTGGTTTTATATAACGAGAACTTTAATACAACTTGTAACAAAAAGGCGATGGGCTACAGTGTGTAAAAGGTAAAGGTAAGCGAGTGACGGATGAGACAGAAATACAAACACGTCGAGAGTCGGAGGAAAATTAGCTAATTAACGTCTCCCGGTCGAGAGGTCCTCGTAATTTATTGGGGAGAGCGTATTGAAATCTGTAAGGGAAAGTCCTTGGGAAGGGCGAAGGCCTTTCTCGAAGATTTTCCGACCGGGGTGATCCGGGACCTAAGGTCCGAAGCTCTGTGTCTCGTCGTTTTTATTGTTTTATGGCGGTGTGTACGCCTTGCGTCGGGAAAACCCGAAAAAGGCATCTGCACACCCCGCTTTTGGAGGACGTGGCTTTTTTATGTCTGGCCCGCCACGAAATAATACGGATTAACGGGAATGATCGAATTAGTTTAACGAGTCCGTAATTGGAAAACGATTTTCATGATAAGGCTTCATAAATGCACAACTAATAACTATTGGTTAGGCAAGAGAGTATTTTTGGTTAGCACGCGTAGAGAACGTTGTAATTGTCGCTTCAAAACAGAAATTACTTCTTTGCCAACCCAATACAATATCCGCGAGGTAAGTCAAGGTAAATGTGATAAGAGTCGGTAAACAAGCAGTCGAATTTTTGCTTTCATGTAACATAGAATTTCGTTCCGATAACAGTAAATAGACAGTGCTTTACTCATTCCATGAAACGACTAACGGTACTCAACCTATTGAGAAACTTAGGTCTTCGAATTCCTGAGGAGCCTCTATATAGATAGATTTAAGTACTAGACTCGAAACAATTTGTAGCTAGTCAAAAATATTCATGATTTACTCATCGGAGGACGATTTATACTTTTTTTAAATAATTATGTTGTATTTAAAAAACTTCTTCTAACAAGCAAGACTTGTCGATTTACGAATAAAATTGCTATATTATATATAATATATTATATATTATATAATATATATTATATTATATTATATTGTATATAATAATAATATAGATAATAATATTATATATATATTATTATCTATTATATATTATATATATATATATATATAATATATATTATATAATATATAATATAATGTAATATAATAGCAATGGCGGGAAACCCGTAATTGTTAGTAGACCGCACACTGTACGCACGATACCCAAATAACGGAAGAATTTATATGAGAATTGTTGGGGCTACGAGTGCCTCAACATCGTATTTCTATTCTATTTCAGAGTAAAAGTTTCATTTTTTATGTTTTTATTATTTTACACAGCTAGCTCAGAATAAAATACAAATCATTTGCCTAGAATTAAATAAACACATCTTTTTGCACTTTTAACTTCGGGTCTGTCGTGATCCTAATATACAGTAAATTCTCCCTAATTGACGTTCAGCTTGTACACAAAAATGAATCACTTTGGGAAGAAGAGATACGATATAGTTATCAATTGTCAACAATCATAAAAACGAGCCGCAAGACTGGAGTATAATCGTATCTCCTCTTCCCAAATTGCCCATTTTTGTTTCCCATCTGAGCGTCAATTAGGGGGAATTTACTGTGCATGTCATTCATGTTAAAATCCTCCTGTCAAATTAAGTATTCTGCATTTCTAATTTCGTAACACATTTAAAACTCTCTTTCGCCTTAGCACAGGCAACTTGTATTTCACACGAAATCCGTCCGCAGTTGATTCGCTAATCTCTGAGATTTTCAAAAAACGTTAAATCAACACCGATAAGGTATTCAATCCTAGCTTATAGTAGACACCAATGATAATTATGTACCTTTCTGGCGCAAGGTGAGCGTGACGTTAGGTGCATCCGTCGAGTTGTTTGCGTTTGGACTAGTATTACACTTGGAAGAAGTGCCATTCTCCTGTATTGAAATCGGATTGTTGTAAACAAACTGCTTTATGGTCACCGGTCCCTTGTAAAACGTTTTGTTACCGAGATGCACGTTGGTCGAGTTCTTTACGCGCACTTCACCGAAGCTCGACGGATCAGCACTTGGCAGCACCAAGTTACCATCTGCAGTGGCCACTTGCTGCTGTTGCTGGAGCACTACCGGTACGGATATCTCGGGTATCCACTCGTCATCTTCGGTGTCCGTTTCTTCTTCGGTATCCGCTTCTTCTTCTTCATCGTCCTCGTTTCCTACCTCACTACACTGTGTAGAGGAACTGGCGACGCTACCACCCCCAGGGATTACGAGCGCGATATCTTTCGGGGTCGTAGTCTCCTCGCAGCAATCTTCAGGTTCGTGGTACTCGATCACGATATCACAGTTTGTCGGCTCCTGGATGTCCGTTTGGCACCGGTTCCCGTCTGTTTGCTGATGTTGCTGCACCAATGTCACCATGCCAACGCGCTGCGCAAGAAAGGAATGCTTCAGCTTCGGAAATAACTTATACTATAGTGATATATATATAATAATAAATATAATAATATATAATAATATATATATATATATATAATAATAAATATAATAATATATAATAATATATATATATATATATATATATTAGGGGGACCGGGAAGTAATGTCGTTTCTGCGCATGTCAGTACTCCTTTTTTTTTGCATACTAATTTTTGCATACTAAATGAAAAAAGGTTGTGGATAATGAGGGTGATTGCATCATTGATTGAAAATAAAAACTAGTTAAAAATTTATCTGTTTGAATTTAATGTAAACAAACGACATAACTTTCCGGTCCCCCTAATATTTATAATAATATATATACTTTATATATATAATAATAATAATAATAATAATAATAATTTAATATAAAATAATAATAATTTATTATTATATATATAATAATATTTTTATTATTATATATATATATATATATATAACTTATACTATACTTCTTTAACTACAATAATTTCTCCCTAATTCGCGCTCAGATTGCGCACAAAAAGATAGAAAATTTGTGAAGTGGAGATAGGATTACGCGAGCCTTGCACCTCGTTTTTATAGTTACCGATTGTGAACAACTGTAAAAACGAGACGCAAGGCACGAATAATCGCATCTCCTCTTCCCAAATTGTCCATTTTCTGTGCGCGATCTGAGCGCGAATTAGGGAGAAATTACTGTAGTGCGCAATAATTACAAATTAGTGCGCAATATTCAGAGATTAGTACTGGTGCATAGCTGTTGAGACTTCCGGGTGAGAAGGAGAAATTGCAAAAAATGATAAATGAAGAGGACACTTTTCCAAGTGGTGGCAATACAATTAAACAATAGCAACCGGAACTCCGTTTTCTCAAATTTGAAGAATTAGTGGAAACAGAAATTAAGAAGTACAGTAAACTCTCGCTAATTTTCCTTCGGCTTGTAAATAGAAATGGACGATTCCGGAAGAGGAAGATAAGATTACACGAGCCTTGCAGCTCGTTTTTATAATTGTTGATAATCGGCGACTGTAAAAATGAATCTCTCTTCCCAAATCGTCCATCTTTATTTACAAGCTGAAGGAAAATTAGGGAGAATTTACTGTACCATTATACTGTTTTGAACACAGAAATTGATTTTTGCTCGGCTCTGTTTCTTGTAACTGATTGATACCGAACATTATTGTGTCGTATACTGATACGTAGTCTAGTGATCACGTGTCACTAAAAACGAGACTTTTCAGTAGTGAATCATTGTATCCTACTATCGATCAAACGTTGAAGCAGTTATGCTGCGTGTAAGGACACCGTTCACCCAGAAAACGCAACACTAAAAAATTGAAGTTATAAACTCACCAGTTAGGATTGTTAATGGATGATCAAATCGAACCTACACCAATTCATTGACACTGAATATTGAACGTAATTAATTGTACCAAAAATGGTACTCAGAGGAATAAAGGTTATTATTAATTTATTAAATTAATAATTAATTATTAAATATTAAGATATTATCTTATATAATATCTATATAATATATATATATATATATATATATATATAGATAATAATATATATATCTTATATTATATTATATATATATATATATTATTAAGATATATAATTAATAATTAAAGATTAAGATATTTATGGAATAAAGATTAGATTCGTGAGATTATTCTGTTAGATGAATGAATTATTTGAGCTCGCTAATGAAGAATTTGTTAATTGTTAGAACGTAGAAATGATGTATATGACTTGAAAGAGCTGACGTGATTCTTTCTGGTGTAACTCGATTGTAATTTCAATATTTCCGTTCTTCGACGATTCTTATACTGCTTAATGGCGTACTAAGCACGCTTTAAAAATAAATTTAAGAGTTAAAAACGAATTGAAGCGCTGATCGTGTAGTTAAAACATATACCGGTCGTTTATTTGACCTGTATCTGCTTACTTTCACATTGGGAATTTCCAATGGCTACTTTTTGTTTCAATATAAACATTCGATCGCGTGGGCTCCTTTGTCAGAAATTATAATCAGTCTTTTGAGCACGTGTACGTACACGTGCGTTTAAATCAAATACGACGAGATGTTACGAAATTGCAGATACGATAAAGTGCATTTACTTTGTACACTTGATTTTATTGTTTCCTAAGCGCTATTTCGGTACTTGGAAGTGATTTGTAATAAACGCATAAGCTAATTATGTGTGATCGATATTCCAAATAGATGCACTTTCTTGATGCATGATTTGCAAAATTTAGATGATAAACAAATTTTAATAAGTTATAAGTTTTAATAAATTATATAATTTTATAAGTTATTTTAATAAGTTATATATAATTTTGATAAGATG